CCTAGCACCCTAACAACCTCCAACACTGTACCTACAATAGTCTACCTAGTTTCCAGTTTTTATGAATATGAGAGGTAATCTCTCTTGCTTATACTTATTTAGTTTTCCTTTTATATGTAATCTTACTGAATTTTAATAAATACAAATACAGTCCAAGCTGTAAAAAAGTCAATTCTGTCCCAAATTAACCTAATAACATTATACAAAATTTTCAAAGAACTCTTCAGCTGATTCTAAAACTCATGTGCAATAGAAAATTAACAAGACCTTTCCTAAAGTAAATATGCATATGTAAGATGTGTGTACATATACATATATCTTGGAAGAAAATACCGGTGCACATCTTTCTAAATTCAGGATATAGAAGAGTTTTTTTAGAAAATGATAAAGAATAAAAAGAGAAAATTTACTCTGTTGTATATAAAAACAAATAATGAAGGTGTAATAACTGGAAACACCAAAATATTAACAAAAATAAATTCAAAAAAATTACTAGAATGAAATTCTTGAAATGTATTCCTGGATAAGCGAAAATTTATTCTAAGAGATAAGTGGAGATTTCAAATCAGAAAGGTAAGGATAAAGAACTCTTTACTGGCTGCTGTTGTTTACAATCTATTTGGTGAAAAATTTCTGCTTCAGAAATTTACAAAGATAAAGAACTGTTGAGGATGTAAAGGTAAATATGCATGTGTAAGATGTGTGTACATATACACATATCTTGGAAGAAAATACTAGTACACATCATTCTAAATTCAGGACAAAGAAGAAGAGTTTTTTAGAAAATGGTAAAATTCAAAAGTCACATAGAAAGAAAATGATTAATTCTGTGGTTTAAAATCTTTGTATAATTAAAGACTAAAAAACCAAGTACAAGTTAAACAAATAGTGAGAAAAATTTCTACAATATATACAACAAAGAATTACTCTGAGTGTATATATATATATTTATGTATGTATTTATTAAAAGCAACAAGCATTTAAAAAATAAAAGCAAAAGAAATAAGCCATAAATTTCCCAGAGAAAATACAAATGGAAACACGTAGGCTTTAAGCAGTTAGTGTACCAGATTTATTAAGGAGAAATTACACACCATAATAACTAGACCAGTATAAAACATTTTCATTCTAGTGTTAGCTGTATATAAGTTGTCAAAAAAGGTTGTCAGTAAAAATAAGAAATGAACAAATTCTAAATAATGAAGTGTCTCAGGGGCAAATGCCTATGGCTGGCACTATTTCTTAAGACTCTGATAAAGTAGAGAAATTGTATTTGAGATTGCTGGGTTAAGTCTGGTTTCTGGAAAGGGAATACAGTTGTCCCATGTCAACAGGCATCCCTGGTTCTGCAAGTCACAAATTATCTCTGAAATATAAAAAACTCAATTTTGGCCCTCAGGTTTAATATGAGCTACCCATCCAACAAAGTTTTTAATTCAACAATAACATTTTTCACCTCCTAATTGGTTCTTTTTCAAATCTATATAGGCATATTTTTAATAGATTATTGTCACTTCCTTATTTTTGTGAAGTCACAGCCAAAGAAATCAAGAATAGCAGGAAAGAGATGTGTATTAAAGAGGAAAGACATATTTATGTCTTCATAGATATGAAATTTATTTTTAAATTATAGTAAATTGAACAATATGTTACTGGAAATAAATCACCTAAT